TACCAGTTTATTTTCCAGTATTCTAGCATATTTATTCTATTTTATTCATTTATTTATGTATTTGTTTATTTATTCTATCTATATTCTTTATTCTTGCACATTGTGATGCCAGGCTTAGAACTATCATTAAAATACATTAAATGGAGAGCCCACCCCACAAAATCTCAGATGTTCCTAACATGGGAGTCTCCACCAGAATTAGTCAAGCTCCCTTGAGCAATCACCACTAAGTAATGGCTGTTTCCAGCCTACTCTGTCCTAAATGAGATGTTAACAAGGGGTTAGATTAATTGTAACCTGGCCAAATTAATTGTGCTTCTATCTTTCCACTGATTCTCAAGATAGCTATGAGGAATGGCTCAGGTGTAGATGCCTACACTGTAATTCTGTCCTGTTCTCGGATACACCACTCCCTACAAAAAATATTTCCACTTAGAGATAGTCCATCTAAAGTCTTGGTAAACTGTTACCTTGAAGGACTTCTGTGGTTAAAAACATGCACCTTATTTCTGGTCTGAATTTGTACACCTTCAGCGTGTAGCACCTTGCTATGCCACTGGTTGCTGATGTGAAGAGTCCTCTTACATAATAATATAATCAGATTTCTTTTCCTTATAGAAGTTCTTGCATTGCTCATCCTTGAATTTCCACTCCAAGCATTTGCAAGCAATGACATGGTACTAAAGAGAGGAGAAAGATGCTGCTCATTCCTCCTTTTCCCACTGTTCCAGATCAGAGGGGACAAAACCTCATCCTTTCAGTGTTACATCCCATTGAAAACACGTACAGCAATAATCCAAGGGGTTTTGGTATCTCTCTAGGAGCCCTTCTTCAAATATTTACCCACAACACTATGGTCACTTCCTAAATCTCTGCTCCCCAGAATCATGTGTCCACTGACTGTGAGTTCCTCAGATACCACATGTAGATGCCTTCAGTGTCAAAAGGTGGGCTGACCATCTCCCATGAGGATATTTATGTGCACCCCAGAAAAATAAACAGCGTTGGAAATAAGGCCTACTTAAATATCTGTACACCTAGCCATCTCTCCATGGCCTGCTGGAGATCTCTTTATTTTTGTTATGCCCAAAATCTTGTTAGAGATAAAAAGGAAATGCACCTTACATTACCTCAAGAATTTATTGTAAGAATAAAGGAAATCTGAATAGTCTAATCAAAGCATTTTGATTAGTGAAGGTTAAATTCTTAAAGACAAAAAAAAAAAAAAAAGTTTCAATAACAATACAGTTAAAATTGATATACAAATACTTCCTACTTTCTACCACTTTACCTGCTTTTATGTTCACTTTTCCACTAATGTTGCTTCCACATTATAGGGTGGTATTGTGAGTCATTTGCATCCCAAACCCTTTGCAGGGAGGATTATGATGGTGGAAATGGATTCTTTGTCATCAGCCAAGGATCCACTGGGGGTCATTTTGATGATGTTTGCTCAAACACATTTACACCTTGCTTTTCCTTCCTTAGTCCACCTTACATCCAATTTAACTGTGTATGGTGCACTTTAGATAGGTTTGATTCTTTGTTCTTGTTTTTATCCCCAAATTTTGTCCACCGACATGTCTTCATTTCTTTAACTAACATTCAATGAATTCTTCACAGCTGAAGGGTCTCCAGAGCCAGCCTGACCCCATCTCTCATCACCCCATGCCTGCCCACGTCCAGCACTTCCACCTCTCAAGGCATCTGCTGCTGTACCAGGTCTGTGTTTCTTTACAGCTCTTCATTATGCTGGAGTCATAAATTCAACATGCAATAACTCCTTGTCACAGCTATCTGTGTGACCCTACAGCTGCACCATACGAAAACAAACAAAAGTAAAGCAAATTAACTATAACCGCTAGGTCAATTAGGAAAACTGCAATTACAGCTGAGCAAAGTCAAAATAAAGCTCTGGTCAGGTCAAGAGCAGTTCAGCCAGAGCAAGCCTAACAAGCCTCAGATTTGAGAACTTGCAAACTCAATAAAAAGCCTGTGGCCTATTACTAGCAATGCCAGTACTGTGCTTACTGAGCTGCAGGGCTATTTTGTCAGTTCTTGAAATTGGGAGACCATGGCTTTTCCTCTGTGCACCTTCTTGGCGAGATGAGTCTAGCTCTCCCAGACAGATGGGCTCAGCTCACTTCTTCAAGCCCAGCAGTGGATTGGTTTCAAGTATTTTCGGTATCTTTGCCCATGATTTATACTCTCAGTGTCCGTGGTTGCAGTGGTATTTTTAGTGTTGTTCACTACAATAACAATATAACACAATAATCTGGCTCCTGATGTATTTGTTTTTAAATGCTCTTTGACATGATAATTTTGTGATGTTCTGGGCCATGACTTCATGGCATATCAACCAACACAGGGTAAGAACAGGGTAGTCTGAACCTTCATCTGAAATTCATGTCTGAGAAACAGCAGTGCTATGCAGGGAAAATCTAGTGATGCTTTATTTCTTTCTAAGTTATGCTGGTATATACATAACACGGGTTTCATGTGCAGAAGTGCTGACATACACTTCTGGTTTACAGTGCTTTTCTGACAAGTGAGTAAGTAGCTAGATATTCTGGCTACATCCTAATAAACCTTCCGTTCATACACACACACTCACACACACAAAACAAAACAAAAATACACACACACACAAGTCACTTGCATTAGGTCTTAGCAATAGCAAGATCACCAAAGGCCCAGTTTAATTCCTGTCAATGGGGTGTGGTGGTTTTACCGTGCTGGGCAGCTAAACCCCACAACCGCTCTCTCACTCCCCCTCCTTTAGATGAGGAGGGGGAGAAGTAAAGCAAAGAACAACTCACGGGTTGAGATAAGGATAATTTAATTAAAGGGAAATAATTATAATAATTAAATAAAGACTACCATGAACTAACAATTTAACTAAGGGGAAATAAAAAGGGAAAGGGGAAAGGGAGGGGAAAAAAAGGAAAATAAAAAGAAGGGAGGAAAACAAACAAACAAAATAAATGAAGGCTATATGGAAGTGCAGAGGAAAGAAATTACTCTCTACTTCCCACAAATAAGCGATGATTGACCACGTCCTTGAAGCAAGGCCTCAACGCACGCAGCCGGTGTTCGAGAGGAGGACCGACGTCTTCCAAACGAGAGCCCACCCCTCCCCTCTTCTTTCCTGTTTCCACCTTTTATTGCTGAGTGTGACATCACATGGTATGGAATATCCCCTAGATTGGTTTAGGTCAGCTGCCCTAGTGATGTTTCTCTCCTCACCTTTTGCCCACCCCCTAGGAGGGTTAGAGAAAGGCCCAATGCTGTGCCACTGCTGCTCAGCAGTAGACACAACACTGGTGTGATAACACTGCTGTTCCAGCGACAAGTACAGAGTACGGCACTGTATGGGCTGCTGCTGGGAAAGTTAACATTCCAGCCAGACCCAATACATGGGGCTGGTGGGAATATTTGTCACCCATCTTTCCCCATGGGATATATTCAGGATTTTTAGCACTCATCTCTCTATTGCAGCAGAGTACCTAGAGTAGTGAGTCACTACAGTGAGTAAAGGGTCAAAAAGGGATCATGAATGATACCTGGATTTAGGCAAGGTATCTTTGGTTAGGGAAAGAGCTGCTAGGGTGGACATGGGGCTGTATAATGTAAATGGTGTAGGAAAGATAGACATGAAGCAGTCTCACTGCTTCTCATCTGTGAGAACAAAAGCTCTGAATGAACCTGTGAGGTAGAGCATTTAAAACAGAAACAAATTACCTTTAATGAAATGATGGCATGGAGCCCAAAAGGGTGTTGTGAAGGCTAGGAATGTGAATAAACTCAATGTGAAATAAGGTGTATTGACAGTGTTTCCTTAGCAATTACCAAAAGGAATGGTCCTGATGCAGCCCCTGGGCCAGCAAAACTGGAGGCTGCTAATTGCCAGAGCTGGCAGATAAAAAGGCAGAACCCCAATCTACCACAGTTGTTCAGCAGAAAGCCACAAACTTCTCACACACCTCTGGGGACTGAGCTTTGGACATGGCTCACAAGCAGAAGACATTACAAAGCATAGGTTGGCAGCTAGGGCAAGCCTGCAACTGGTTTCCAAAGTCCTTCCATAACCAGTGTTGTTGTTCCTCTGACCATCTCCGGTGCAGCACCCTGGCCACTAAGACAAAGTTGTTCCAGTGAAGGAATCACTTTTGAGCCACTTGGAAGTTGTGTATGAATCCAGAACTGCAGTTCATCCAAGCTTCATCTCACTCTGGCAATGGGAAGCAATGTGGGAGAGGACAAAATCACTGCAGAAACGTCTGCTAGAGTTTGTGCTTGAAAATAAGGGTTTTTGTGCTCTGGTGATCTCAATGAGTGGATCAAATCACCTGATTTGGTCAGAAGGGGGACCTCGTCTCTAACCAAGTTCCTGATTAAGGCTCTCAACTCTGATATTAGCCCTATTTCCTCAGGGCTTCATCCAGCTGAATCATGAAAACTTCCAAGGATGGAAACTGCACCACCTCCCTTGGAAACCTCTTCTAATACACATGCTACACGGGAGACTTTAAATAGCACCTTTATTGATGATTTCAAATATCATGCTACATGGGAGATTTTAAATAACATCTTTACTGATGATTTCATATATCATAAGCAGAGTGATAATTCAAATATCATAAGCAGAGTGATAATTGCAGGAGGACATTTTTCCTGGTAGATCTTGAAAAGGGTTTTATAGGAAAATGAAGAATCAGAATATCAAATTCAGAATTTAGTAAATCCATACACAAGACACCCAATCTTCCCAGTAGAGGTAGTTTCTCACCAGTGGAGTTTGTGAAAGAAATATTGATGAAAGACCTCCGCCAGTAGGGAATAATAGGAACTGTCTTACACATCTGCTCCAAGGCTGACCACAAAACCAAACTAATCCCACCATATAAATAATAATGAAAGGTGGAGCTGGTTGGAAATTAAGTAAAATAAAATAAAAATTATCAGAGGACAGGTGCACTTTAAATAACCTTATCAAGCACTACAATTTTAACACAACATTTTTATTCTGCTCAGAAGGGTACAGAAAACAAGAGATTTCAGCCTCCTTGGATCAGATCACTGGCATAGGAAGTTTAGTCTCCTGTCTCATAGTTTGAAAGTCCAACTTCTTACACACTAAGGAAATCTAGACAGAACAAAGAACCAACAAAAAACTGTGGGGTGGAGAGGCCCTGACACATAAAAGTGAATTTAATCTAAGGCTGTTTGATTCAGCTACTCTGCTGGTGAATACCTGGGGAAAAAGAATGCTCTAAGGAGGTGTGGAAAGCGCTTAGTTCCATGTCTTTTGCTTTAAATATATCATATACACCAGATTTTTTTTTAGTTCAAAATCAACCAGATCAGCAAAGCAAAGAAATTCCAGAGTTATATTTGTGGGAGCTGTTGAAGAATGAACCCAAAAATTAGTGTTGGGACTTCCTGAGCTTTGTTTCTCTCATGGCAGGTGGGTGGGTACTAAAAACACAATTTGTGGGAGCTGTTGAAGGTAGTCCATGAGGCATCTTAATGCAAAGCTGGGCTGGGGTTCATTCTCTTCTTCATTGGGTTCTTTGGCAGAAAAGCACCTTCCTCAGCTCCTCATAATATAGTCCAGAAGAGAGCGCAAAGGGAACTTGCTAACATGCCAACTGGGACAACCCTGACCCCCAAATTATCTGTACCATCAGAGTTGCACAAGTCAGCGTAACAGCAGGTGACGGGGCGCGTCATGCCAATCCCATCCACATCAGATGGGATGCAGATGGAGGAGCACATCTTGGTGACGGTTGAGACTCCCACAAAGGGATAAACTGCAACAAAGCAAGGAAGAAGGAACAGTTAGGAATGGGAGGATTGAAGGAGAAATCTCTTTGTTCCTGGATGAAATGTTAACTACCTTCACCTCCAAAGTCTTAGTTATAGTTCAAATACAGTGGGACCATTTTATGCCAGGAACATAAGAAACAGTTTCTGTTCAGCGTTTCTAAGCTGAACAGTGCATTACCTCTTCTGTGCCTTGTCTGGATCAACTGTTTCCCACAAAAGTCCTATTAAACAGTTTGTCTCTTCTTTAACTCTATCCCATATCTCCTTTCTCCATTACAAACAACCAGAGCCTTCCCAGATGAACCAAGCAAAACAGAGAGCCTCCATCCTAGCAGTGCATTTCTGTATTTGGACAGGTTATGACCTGTAGGGTCACCATTCGGACTGCTGATACCTTCCTGAAACCTCCAGAGAACTCAAGGTCATTTATGGTTGCCTCTAGTTGACCAGAAGTTTGCTTTCCCACCTTACTGCACCTGACTCACCTCTACCAGCCTCCCTACCCCACCCAGCAATCATAAACAGTTCTGTGGTCAGGACAGTACTGTTTAACCCACACCCATTTTGCAAATTATACAGACACTCTGGAGAGTCAGAACTCTCTAGCTCTGTACCTCAGAATCAAGTCCACACATTTCCTCTAACCATTCTCAACGTTGAGCATTAGCTATGACCTAAGTGCTGACTCTGAAAATAGCAGGAGACTGTTCTTCGCCCCAAGAAATATCACTTATATGTTTGGTATTATATAAATACCTTATCATAAAGGTATTGCTCCCCACACCAGAGGCCTGTGCTGGAGAAACACAGATTCATGTTAAAATACATGGATAAAGAAGCCTTGCCCTTACCCTCCTCCAGGGAATACATGGTTGTCTTGCACATGGTTTCATTCTCATTGCAGTTCTGGACCTTCGTGCACTTATCAGCAGCTGTAGGTTCAATGCAGGAGTAGCACTGCAAGGTTCTGGCTATAAGGAGAACAAACATGAGACTGGACTTAGTGTAGACCATCAGGTTCTTCCCATGCTCATCCAGAAACCTCTGAAGAAGATCACTCTCCAAAATATTCACACTTTACCCAGGAATGGGTTGGTAAAATATGAAGATCACTCTCCAAAATATTCATACATTACCCAGGAATGGGTTGGTAAAATGTATTTGTTCCAAGGGGAATGAAAAATACATTAGTCTGGGCATCCAAACACAGTCTCAGCTTCAAACCCCTCTATAACAAGTCAGGAAAGACAGAGCTACATGCAGTAGGACCAACAATACAGGAAAATCCTGTCTATAGTAAGCTGCTGAATGTTTGGGTCCTTCTACTCTTGTTTTGTTATCAAGGAGGGTTGGCAAATTGGTTTTTTGTTTGTTTGTTTGATTGTTTGTTTTTGTTTGTTTGTTTGTTTTCCCCTTTGCAGGTAGGTCTGAAATAGTCCACAAAAGAGTTTAAGGGTAATTTTACTTTTTTTTTTTGGTTCTGCACCCCAGAACATGCAGTATATATGTGTTGGGACATCCCAACGTTAAATGAAAATAAATGAAGATGATTAAACAAACAGATCAATATTATATTCACAAATATAAGGAGGAAGAGCAGCTTGACCCACCTGCTTCTCCCTTATTGTTGTGGGGTAATTGCATTGCCTAAGACAAGGCTGCCTGTTCTGCACAGTGGCTGGATGCCAGCAAGACAGGCTTAGTGAAACACAACATTTCAGTGTTTGAATTCTTTGAAGATCTTGCCCCAGGTGCCAGCAGCCAGCTAAGACATGCAAAGAGCCAGGAGAAGCCCAACCCTTCAATTGTGCAATTTGCAAGATGTTTTTCTTTTAACCATTATCACAATTAGCTAATAGGCCCTGCTTCACATGTTTATGACAAGCCACTAACCATCCTGCTTGCCAGCCAACCACATCCCCAAGTTGTTTTTATCTTTTATTTCCACAGGACAGCAAACATGCTTGTAGCTGATTTACCCCAAGTGTTCTTACTCTTCATCTGTTTTTCTCCTCCTTGTCATTACATTAACAGAGCATCAGAAAGAGATCTGGACACACCGAGAAGTCAGATTTGAGTATGAATTGCACCAGGAGAATTTCATCTAGTGCTGACCACTGTTACCTCTCTCCAAAGACTTGGAGCTCTTGGGTAGGAGATTGTCCCTGAGAGAAGAAACTGTCTCCATTAAATTAACTGAGCCATGGCAGCAAGTTAAAAATGACCCTTCCCCCTCTCCCAAATTTCTGGTTCAGTGAGAAGAATGTCTTAAAAGTTGTTTTAAAAAAGATGACTCTGGGCACAATAATGGACTGCATGGGGGGATGTTCTGGACTGCTGTGCTCTAGAAATAGGCCATTAAAAAGCACTTTGGTACCCAAGACCCCAAATCCAGTCCACGATAGCTCACCCTGCCTCGTCTCTCACAGTCTCCTAGCTTCCCTTTATCACTTTCCCGTTGGGCTGCAATTAGTTCCTAGACATGCAGAATAACCACAGCTTGAGCCCCTCAGTGCTTAAAGTCTTTGGAGCTGGAGAGGTTTCACAGTGAGATACCAAGGAGCCCAGTGCACAATGACATAGTGTTCCCAGAGCATTCCTGACCCTCCCAGAGCACTCCAAGCTGAAGACATCAAGCCAAAATAATTGACTTGTGTTTTCTATGACCCAGCCCTAGGGTTCCTAGGCAACACAAGCCATTTTTGGACAAGCTGTCCAGAGCACTTCGCTCTCTGCAGGTCTTGATGAAGAACCTAGCACTTGATCTTGGTCCTCTCTTCCACTTGCCAGCCAGACACCTGAAGGCGTAGCAATGCCTTGAAGGCACAGCAATGCATTTTGGTACCGTCACAAGCCAGAAGCCCTACTTGCCTTACCTTGATAGTATGCAATCCTTTCTGGAAAATCCTTCTCACCCCATTTGTGTGACAGTCCTGGTGAAAATACTTTAAACCCCATTAAAAAAGAAAACTAGTTGGCTCATCTCAGCACACCTGAAATGAGCTGTTATAAGAGCAGGCTGAGGCAAGCAAGTCACTTTATGAAAATATACACTACCTGCAGCTTCACCCTAATTAACAACCCAGAAAGAGCCCTTTTATAAGTAGCCCCAGCAATTGGCTTGCTTTTATTCAAAGCTCACTTTGTTATCCTACTTTGTTCACTGTGGACTGATGCTTTGTTTGTGTTAATTCTCTGTCTGACAGCTGTCAAATGCGTCTTTAGGGAGGAAGCTTTGTCATTATTCTCAGATTTCATGATACTCATCCCCTGACAAGTCAAAGCCACAGAATTTGTGTTTATCTTTGAAATAAATAAATAAATATAATAAATAAAATACAGAGGATTACATCAAAGGGATGGCAAATAAACAGATCATTGTCCCCAACATGTGCAAACCTAGTATTTTCATTAACCTTATTCAGACTAGCAGGTTCAAACACAGATGAATATTTTAAATAGTAGCTATACTTATGAGTATCTTTTTTTTTTTTTGAGGTTAAAAAAAAATAAAAAAGAAAACACAAAAGTAGTACTTCAGTAGTCATAGTGAACTGGAATCTCACAAAGCAGGGAGTAAGCACCATGACTTAAAGACTTTAAGACTTGGGATATAAAAACCCTGTTTTAAACAAGCTCTGGGATATCCGTCTGGCCTATCTGTGAAGAGTATATATTAGGGAAGGTAGCAGAACTGCAGTGATCCCTTTTTTTGATTTAAGAGCTTACAAACTTACACACAGACAAGAAGACATGCAATAGCTTAAAAATGAAACCACAGAATGAGAATGAATGGGAAGAAATTGCAAATTGCAAGCCTTCTTTAAAAGAGGAAAATATAAAACCTTAAACTATTTCAGTGTAGATATAACATCCTTTTTGGTGAGCTGAAAGAAAAAGAGGACATAAATAAGCAAAAGATGTTGGAATTTCTTAGAGATTTTGCCAGTTTCACTTAGATATTGGCAGATCTTCCACCATTCACCTCTAACTGCCTTTCTAGGAAATGCCAAAATTACACAGATCCCATTCATGTCCAGAAGAAAGCTCAGAGATTCTGCAGGTGCATCCAGGCTTTCCTCCAGCTTTGCAGAGGATGAAAGAGGAATCCACTATGCCAAATCCACTATGAAGTTTCCAAGATTTGCCCATGTTTGCCTGCTAAATCAAAGCATCCATCCTGACGATGTCTACCTAAATGGGATGGGGAAGTGGGCAAGGAGCAATCTGGTGGCCCTGGACCACACAGAAGCCTCTGTTCCCCAAGTCTTGACAAAGTCTCATTGAGCAGGATGACAAAAAAAGTTTGGTGAGTTAATCCTAGACCAAATTTGTATCCAACCCCGTTGCTTTCCTGTTTCTTAAAGTGTTTTCAGATGACCACTTCCCCTAAGGAGATCTGACAACAAAGTTCCTTTCTTCCCAATCTGTCCTCTGTTAATTAAAGGCTTTCCTCTCTGAACTGCTGCCTATTGACAAGCAGACAAGAAACCCCAGAACGAATAAGATATAATGATGAAACATATAGACATATATATATATACCCTTTCCTAGAGACCAATGATGACTGATCTCTGCAGCAGCAGCTGTGTTGAGCACATAAGGCACCCATTGATCTTGGTACAGCACAAGCTGCCCGAAGCTTTGGACTACCAGTGACTATGTCCTAATGATGATAGGACAGTCAGTGCATTATACAAAAAAGACACAAAAAGTCATGTTAGAGATAACAGGACAGTCAGTGTATTACAAGAAAAAGACACAGAGCTTCTGTGCCAGCCCTTACTCCCCAGACAGCATCCATCTTCTACCCCCAAAAAACACCAAAACCACCTTCTTTCTCCATCCACTTGCCTTCCCTGGCAGAAACTACTCTGCAGACCCAAAGATGGCAGAAGGAAAACATCCTTACATAAAAAAGAAAATAAATATATAAGAAAAAAATCCTGGATCGTTGTCCCAGCCAGGCATTCATAAAACCAGACCCTGCACTGGCTGGATCTGGAGATGTCCAGGGCATGTGAATATCCCAAGAGCAACCACAGCTCCTTACCCTGCATAGGACTTGCCTTGGACATCCAAAAAAAAAAAAAAAAAAAAAACAAACAAACAAACAAAACAAAACAAAAAAAACAGGTCTGAGCTTGGCATCAGCAATATAAAATCAATTTTTGAGCAAGAAGCTATTCTGGTGGCAGTATGAAAGGATGGGGAGTCTATGTCAGGATGTTCTGACCACTATGCAGTCACCTTCCAACATTAGAGGCTACGGCATCACTGCTCATGTGGGGCTGATGAGATAAGGGGATTTCCTACTGCCTTGGGAATGCAAACTGCTAATTGCCATATACCCCTCCATGTCTGGCTCCATGGAGCTGGTGATGGAGGGGAAGAAATAGAATTTCCCCACTGGAAATGTAAGGGTTAGGTTTTCATAGCGTCCCCAAAGAGAGGGGATTCATGGGGCTTGTTCTCTACCTCCATGTCCCAGACTGATCCCAATATCAGGTTGCTGTTGTCCGCCCAGCAAGGTGGCAGGTTGCCAGTGGGGACAGAAAAGAGGCAGGGAGGGTGGTAGGGGTCATGCTTACTATGGTGATAAACCCCCAAATCTTCCCTCAAAGAAGCAAATTTCCCAAAATACATCACTTTTTCCAAGGTGGTGGGGCAAAATTGTTCCTGGCTTCATGCAGACTGCACTGCGTTACCAAATGGAGCTGGAAAAATCATCCCTGCAGTACGTGGGTCACCAGCTTTGTGTCCCAGCTTGTCTTTCCCACTTCTGATGGCTGAAGTCTAATGAATTATGTGCGCAACATATAATTAGAGAGACCCACTACACACACTGCATTAAACAGGCTGGCTGGCTTCAGGGTTAAATATCAAAAGAGGAGAATAAATTAAGAAGAAAAGGGAAAAAAAAAAAAAAAAAAAAAAGGATAAGAGTCAGATTGAGCAAGAACACATAAAAAGGGGGTACTGAAATTTGCATTAAAGAAATGAAGCAGTATAATCACCTTTCATATTTAACACTTCCTACAGAGCCTGAAATAACTGTCCCAATGAGACCGTGATGATCCTGAATGCCTGACAGGATGGAAATATTCCCAAGACAAGTTTTTGCTGAAAATTCCTCAAAGTCGGAGGCATGGGCCTCAGTGGGAACAGAGCACACTGCATCCCTTCAGCCTTCACCTCCTGCAGCAGTTTGGATAAATTGGAGTGGGAACTTACCAAACTCCATGCAAGTGATGGCAACAAGGAGAAGAAGCAGAAGCAGCTTCATCTTGCGTGGGCTCTCGTAGCCTGGTCACTAGGCTGCCACCAGTCTTCACCACTGGCTTTAATGGCACACCTCCTGGTACCTTGCCATGTACCGATTCCGACCCGAGATCCAATTCTACTGGAAAAACGAGTCTGATTGAGCTATAAATGTATTGAATGATCCACAAAGCAAGCCCCACCTCCCGCTATACCGTCATTTCTTTTCATGTTCCTTGGAGAAGAAAATGAGGGTTTACATGGTGGACAATAGCTGAGGTGCTTAAGCTGGATCCTTTGTGCCTAGGCATGATGTGCAAGCCTGGAGGTATTAAATCATTCCAGCACCTCCGCCTTGCCCTGCAGCTTGTTGATATTTCTTATTTTCTTGTAATGTTTAGAGGAACCTGGGTGGTTTCCATACACCTTGAGAAAAAGCATCTGTAGCGGTGAATAGCAAGGTGTTAAATCCCATGTGCTTTTTTTCCTCCATGCTTTTGTTCTCAGCAGAAGCCAGACTGGGATAAGAAGGGGAAAGCTGACTTCCAATCCCTTACTCACTAGAAACAGCACAGTTGAGTTTGGGGTAGTGCAATACCTCTCCCAAGGCTGTGAACAGGGATTAAGAGGGCTTTGGATAGGAGCAAGCTGCTTCCTTCCTCCTCTCCCTGCCCTTCAGGGGTGTAAGTGGTGAGAGTAGACCTGGGACGGCACAGGACCAGGACATGAAAGTTTGGGCTGAGGAATTCCCTCAGGCTCACTATCCCAAGCCATTCACGGACCATAGTGCCTGGAGAAATCATTCTGCTCTAAGCCAACCCTCTCCAAGCATGGTGACAAGCCCATGACTTCTTTCTTTGCCATATACCATGTCTTTCTCATCCCCAAATCCTACTGCTCCAGGTATCAACCTGCCTTTCCTATGCCAGACCCATTTTAGTGAGTTCTATCTACTACTGCATGTGGTGGGCAAGTTGGACTGTGGGATTGCAAAATAACAGTAAAGAAGAGACTTTCTGTAGTTATCCCAGATGTTCCCCACACACCCAACACACACTTCTAATAAGGAAAGAAAGAAGAGAAAGCTAAAACAAGAACATTATTAGAGATACGCCCATCATCTTTGTTATCTATCCCACCATTGGAGGAACTTCACTCAGGGCTAATATCACTAGAGTTCTTGAAATGTTAAAAATAAATGGTCTTGAGGGTCTTCTCTTCCCAAATAAACAACTCAGCCCTCATCTGTCCAAACCTAAAGCTCCAATGAGAGTCTCATAATTTTAGCAAGTCCAGCCTCAGTTACAAGCAACAATTCTGGATGATCTATGCTTTTATGAGTTCAGACATATTGTTTTCACAGCAGCTCCATAATAAAGTCATTATGCTGATTATAAAAGTCTGGTAGTTATTTCCTGCTCTAAATTATCCAGGGAAAGGTATTTCAGTATATTCTTGGTCTAACATTCATCATGTTCAGAGGAGAATTTTATAATCCTATTATGGAAGGGGAAATACTCTGATCATATTTGCTTTGTTCTTAAGAAAAAAACTAAACATGGAAAGGGGTGTGGTATCTAGTTTCTGGTATTAAGTGGCCTCAGAAAATGTGCACTAGATGATTGGTTTCACATGTGCATCTGAAATCTGATCTTCATTACATTCTACATTTTTGGATGGAAGAATTTTTATAATGCTGAAACCTTGCTTAAATCCTGTGCATTCCTTCTGTTTGGAGGGTTGTTTTGGGGGGTGACAACACACGTCACTTGTTTACGGTTTCAGTTGATCCTATCTGCATCTAGGCAGCACCTGAAATGTTTCTTCTTTTACACGCACCTTATGCAATTGCTTTGCAGTGTTGGCAAGCAACCAAAGGAATAACGAGAAGTAATAGGAACATCCAAACAACATTTCATTGAACTCCTTTTCTTCTTTTCTGGGTATTCACAGCGTGTTGTGTTGGGGGTTTTCCATTAATTACAGAGAAGGGAAAGAACAAAAAGGACACAAGCTATATAAATCTGCCTCAACAACTTACAAGATGAATTTGAGAAAAAAAGAAGAAAAAAAAAAAGACATTTTCTACTGCGTGTGTTCAAATGCAGACAAGTACAAGAACTCGCTGCATTTTTGAAGCATGTTTTATCATAAATAAAAGAAAAAGGTCAATTGAATTTTTGCTTCCAACCTAATAAACCAAGCCACTTTCCTATCCTACCTGGTCAACTGCAACAGTCTCCTGAAGAAGGCATCTTCATCTGGTAGAAGCAGTCCTGTGACACTTGCACCCATACAGGTAATATCCCATAACCTCACCGCTTACTCCAAAAGATATATCCTCCAAATCCCTTCATCTCCCAGAAGACTTGCTCACATTCCCCAATTACCAGGCTGAGACTTGACAAGATATCCTAAGTTATGCCCTCTTTTCTGTGGCAGAGCTTCAGGGAGCACGGGCTGAATGTGTGTTTGGAGTGCAGGTACTGGTTTCAATTTAGAGCCTTCTTGACTTGATCACGTTAAACCCTCCATTTTCCTGACTCTGTTCATCTCTATCCACATCTGCTAGGAATCCCACAGCTTTCCATAGAGGAAAGACATATGAGCAAAAGCTATGATTGGATTCAAAGGTAGAGGTGGAGGGGTGCTGATATAACAGTGTTGCATGCTAGCACTGAGCTTGTGCTGCACACCTACAAGTACCTTAAACCTGATAATACTCCTGCAAGATGAGTAAATATTATATCAAGATCAGATATAAGGAAGCTGAGATGCAGAGAGGTTAATTAGGCTTATGGATCAAGGCAGTAGCAACTCCAGAAATAGAGCCGTCATTGTATTCCGCATGCTTTCACCACTAGTTAATGCTTCTTTTTCATGAGTACTCTTCTGCTATTTTTGTGCAGCCCTGATAAGAGGTGCACGAGTTACTGGAAGCAACAGGAGCGAGTGTTGTCCTTAAAGCCAGGTGCTTAGAAGTTTGTTCTTAGATCCAACAATGATTTACCAGATGACCTTGGAAAATTAATCTTAGTTTCTTCATCTTTTACATTAAGTTAGGGCACGTTGTAGGGTGAATCATAACCATGATGTAAGCTATGTATTAGAAATCTAAAAGGGAGATTTGTCAAACAATTCATGGTTTTCTCCTAGTAACTTCAAAATAACCTCAGTGATGAAGGATGGATGGGGACTTGGCCAACCTGATCTGGTGGGTGGCATCCCTACCTATGGCAGGGGGCTGGAACTAGATCATCTTTAAGATCCCTTCCAACTCAATCCGGTCTATGATTCTATGAAAGCCATTTAAAGAAGCCAGCAGTGAGGATTTGACTAATCAGTGAACCTGCTAGTGTGCAGAGGGATTAAGTTATATGAACTTCACCTCTGATGCATCATCTCCCTCATCCATCTCTTGTGGACACAACTCTGCAGAGATGAGAGCCACATCACACCTAGAAAGAGAGGAATTAAACATCTATCTTTGCCCTCCGCCATTTCCTCCTGTGATAAGGAACATCTTTAAAATTTAAAGGGAAACCTGGAAAAGCAAATAAAAAAATAAATAAATAAACAGTGCCAAGACAGAATCTGGTCTATCCCTATGAATAATGTATCAGGCTCTGCAGTTCTCTTGGAGCCATTTCCACTCAGGCATCACTCATTAGCTCATTAGTCACAGCAGCCTTATTCCTACTAATTGATTTTACTACAAATCCCTACAATGTATGGCAAAAATCCAACACGTCTCGGGCTGGCTTTAAAACCATTATATTGGCACAGCTTTGTGAGACGTTTCAGCACTCCCTCAAGCCCATAAAGGTCAGGTAATTCCTGGAACTGAGTTGCTGGAAGGTGCCCTTGGGGAAAGGGCACTGGCCTCCTTGATCTGACCAGCCTTAGGCTCAAAGCACTGTAGTGGACAGAGCTCTGTGGTTTTCATTCCTAGTAACAATCATTCCTCCATAGCCTGGAGCTGCAGTTGATTCCAGAAGTCTAGGCAACTCTCTTCACACTGTTTTTCACCTTGATATTGGACTAGGGCACGGGGGCTGTTGGCTAGTGCAGGACCTGGGGCTGGCAGATCAGATGAGACCCTGGGTCTAAGGGGTTTGCTGCTCTTCCCAAATTCCTACCAGACCTCACTAAATCAATCTCCTCTGCCTCAGCATCAGTGATGCTTTATGTAATCACCAGGATATGGGGAGGTAGGGAACAAGATGATTTATTTTTATAAGGATTCACGTTCCTTGTAATGATTCACCTGCTTTTTTTTTTTTTTAAGCCTTTTTTTTTTTTCCTTTGAACTCTATGCAGGGACTTTTTACCCTTAGGTAATTATTTAGATTAATCTATGCCTAGCACTTAATTCTTTCTGGGTGGGACCTTCATGTTTGTCATTTGCCTGGCCAGTGACCTTCATATGGAGATAGGGGTCCTATAGAGGATTTTCCAGTAATTAATAACTACCGAGGTGTGTTCTCCATCTCTATTCATAATGTGCATTGAAAAGATTAGTCATATCTTTATAGCTAGTGTGAATTTATATTCCTTCCATAACATTTTTTTTTAGTTCCTGCCTTTGTGATTTGTTTGGGTTTTTGTTTGTTTCTTTTTTTTTGTTTTGTTTTGTTTATTTTGCTTTTAAGCCAGTATCTTTTCCCTTCTCAACAACCTTACTCCCCTGACTTAGGGAGTAATCAAGATTATTTGCTCCAACCAGCTTTCCAAGGCACTGTTAATGATGCAGGAATGTAAATCACTTGCTCAGATTTTCTGTCACCCAGTTTAATTATCCCCTGTGTTTCTTCAAGCCTTAATTCAACGAACAAGAGATATTTTCCTAACTGAGTCACTTCTCATTGACCCAGAAGGGAATAAAAAGGACAATACATGTAAAACAGAAAACAGCCTCACTGAAAGAAAGCAGTTTTGTCTCCAGGCTCTCTTTTTGGCTTCCTATAACTCTACAGTGCTTGACTTTGAAGCTGGAACTTCTGCTCGTCGTTGGCTGAAACCAGGTAGTAGTGTCTCCTTGAGTTCAGTTTGCTCAAACCAGCAGAAAGCCCAAGAGCCTTGGAGCTACCTACATGGCCCAGGTAATAGAATTGGACCTTCTCCCACTAGATGCTATC